GAACATATCGTTTAATAGGTTCACCAACAGGACCTGCTGGAATCTGAAGGTGATCAGAGATTAAAGCGTGAAGAGAGAATGATCCATCATTTTCTTGAGAAGTGAGAATCGTACGATGGTGATCTGGGCCAGTTTGGGAACGAAGGAATTCATATACAGCATTGCGAGTTTCATCATCTGCCTTAAGTGTGATAACTTGAATAGTCTCTCCTTTAACTACTGATCGTCTTTTAGTAACGCGTGGTTGTCTATTTTTTTCATTAAGGACATCGATGCCCTGTTTAATTAAATATTGGTCACATGCAGAGTACAATTCTTTTTCTACTTCAGGGTTTTTACATTGTTCGGTAATCCACGCTGCTGCACGTTCACAGGCAGGTTTCCATTCTTGTTCATAGTTATCACATACAGTTCTTAAATACGTGATTGTAAAAGCTGTACTCCATAAAGAAGGATTACAGTTTCTCAAGAATGAACTTCCTACATAACGCTTGAGTGACTCAACGGCATTATCGATTGAAGGGATTTTAAGGTGGTCGGAAATTGATTTATCTAAGGTGTGTGAACCGTTGGGTTCTTGAGAGTTACAAATTGTGCGAGCGACTTCCTCATTTACATCCTCACGAAGACTTTTATGAATAGCTTTACGTGTTTCATCGCTAACTTGAAGAACAACAACATCGACCTGTTCTTCATCCTCCTGTTCAATTCCACCTCGATTGTTAATGAGGTCAACACCTTGTTGAAGCAAATATTGTTCACAAGCGGAGTATAATTCCTTTTCTGCTTCAGCATCATCAACCTTATCAGTTATCCAGGCTCTGGCGCGGTCATGGGAATGGCGCCATTCTTTCTCATGGTCTCCCAAAATATTTTTAAGGTAATAAGTTATAAAGGCTGTATGCCAAATTGAATCAGGGGAATTTCTAAGTTTTATACTACCAACATAACGTTTAAGATGCTCAACAGCACTTTCCGGCGAAGGAATTAATGGGCGTAAAGTGGCTAAAGCGTTTGGAGAATATGAACCATTGCTTTCCTGTTCAGAACAAAGTGTACGAGCAAGTTCTTCCGTGCCACAAGAACGTAAATCATCTAAAACTATTTTACGTGTTTCGTCATCAACATTAAGTCTTATGACTTGTATTCTTTCCGTATCTTGGAACGGTTTTGAATAAAGGCAACTGCTACCTTGTTCAACTAAGTATTGTTTACACGCAGAAAATAGTTCTCTTTCCAATGTCGGGTCATCGATCTTTTTAGATAACCATTTACTAGCGCGATCATAAGCATCACGCCATTCATTTTCTTGGTCTTTTAATACATTCTTTAAATAAAAGATCGTAAAAGCAGTGTTCCAAACAGAATCATCACATCCTCTAAGTTTAAGATTACCAACGTATTTCTTGAGAGATTTATTAAATTCTTCTGGTTTTATATTGAGATGATCGGTAATTAAAGGATTTAGGGTAAAGGAACCGTCGTCATTCTGAGATTTGCAAATTATACGAGCAGCATCAGGATGGGCGGAGGAACGTAAGCCTTCAAGAACTTTTTGATAAGTTTCATCAGTGAAATCAAGTTTTGTAACATGAACAGGTTCTTGAATATCGTATCGGATAGCTTTGTCGTGTGCTCGGTCAACCACATATTTATTAGTACAATTTAATAATTCTTCTTCAACATTCGGATCACCAATTTGTTCAGATAAATACTTGCGAGCTTTGTTATATTTATCTTTCCAATGATCATTATAATGAGGTGCGGCAACTTGAAGATAACTCATAGTAAGTGCTGTCTTCCACCATGGATCTGACTCCGGAGATTGTAATTTCTCGTTATTAGTGCACGATTTGGCTCCAGTCACAATGTTTTCCATAGGAACTTCTAATTCTTTACAAATAGTATCATCCAATTCAAAGGATCCATCATCTTTTTGTTTAGATGCTGCTGCTTCATGTTTATCAGGAGTCGTTGATGATTGAACATGTACAACAGCAGACCTCTTTTTATCTCTAATAGCTTTTTTGGCACAATTGTCAACTACATAATTATCTGTAAAATCCAAAAGTTCTTTCTCAGCATTAGGATCTCCTATTTTCTTCGAGAGATATTCACGAGCTTTATTGTATTTATCCTTCCATTGACCTTCAAATTTAGGTGCGGCATTTTTAAGATAAGAAAGAATAACAGCAGTTGAAAGTAAATCGGGTGATTTAAGTTTTTCATTAGGAATGTTATTCTGAACTGTAGTAATAATTTCCTCTTTTGGAAGATCAAGTTCTTTGCACAATGTTTCATTTAATTCAATTTGACCATCATCATTCGCTGTAGAAGTAATATCTTTACAGACCTGAGGAGTAACAGATTCCTTAGTAGTGTTAAATGCGGCTTCCTTTTCAGTTTGATCTGGTTCCTTGTCATCACAAATAATATCTTCGATATGTTTAGGGAGGATAAGAGACTGAGTTGTCTTATAATGCTGAATTTTGTTGTCAAGCACATTGTCCGTTGCTTTATCGACTACATATTTATCAGTGCAATCTAATAATTCTTTTTCGGCATCAGCATCACCTATTTTTTTAGAGATATATTCACGACCTTTATTATATTGATCTTCCCAATGTCCTTTATGTTTAGGTGCGAGATTTTGAAGATATGAGAGATTAACAGCAGTTGAAAGCAATGATGGGAGTTCGGGTATTTTAAGCTTCTCATTTTTAATGTCCTTTTGGATCGAGGTGATAATTTCTTCTTTAGGTACATCTAACTCATTACATACTGTATCATCCAATTCAATAGATCCATCGTCCTTTTGTTTAGATACTATATCTTTACAATGTTCAGGAGAAGCTGCATCCTGAAGTGAAGCAAGAACATCTGCTTTGCGGTCCTTGGTAAGACCCGGAGGCGCAAAGGCTTTCTTATGATCGCCTTTCTTATCAGGTTCATCCTCTATCTTGGTCTCTCCAAAAGCGCTTCCTTTCTCATGCTCGCCTTCCTGTCCTGGTCCTTTCTTACCAAATGGAAGGATATTCTTAATTTGACCAATAACCTCACTAGCCGTGTTAGAAACTGTTTCAGGAATAGTACTGAGAAGGCTTTTGCCTTTGGGTTTTTCGGATTTTGGTATTTCATCTTTCTTAAGATCAATTACATCCCGTTTCTTTTCCTCAATTACTTTGCCCGTTGCTTTATCAACAACATATTTATCAGTGCAATCTAATAATTCATTCTCAGCATCTTTGTCCCCAATTTGGTTTGAAAGATATTCACGGGCTTTATCATATTTGTCTTTCCATACACCTTCATGTTGAGGTGCAAGATTTTTAAGATATGAGATATTAATAGCAGTTGGAAGTAATGAAGGGAGTTGAGGAATATTATTAGTAATGTTCTTTTGTATCGTGGTAATAATATCTTCTTTAGGAGTATCTAATTCTTTACACACTGAATCATCCAATTCAATACTGCCATCATCTTTTTGTTTAGATACAATTTCTTTACATTTTTCGGGAGAAGCTGCATCTTGAACAAGAGGAAGCGCAGCAGCTTTTTTATGATCTTTCTCAACCTTCTTAGTAACATTATCGACTACGTACACATCGGCACATTTTATTAATTCCTCTTCAGCATCTTTATCTCCAATTTGTTTAGAAAGATAATCGCGAGCTTTCTGGTATTTATCTTTCCATAGATTTTCGTGATGTGGTGCAGCGACTTTAAGGTAACTAAGAGTAAGTGCTGTTTTCCACCACGGCTCTGATTCGGGTGATTTAAGTTTCTTATTTTGTGTACATTTCTTTACTGTAGGTACTATGTCTACAACAGGAACATCTATTTCTTCGCAAACCGTTTCACTAATTTCAAAAGAGCCGTCATCCTTTTGTTTAGATACTGCATCGTTGCATTTTTCTGGTGTAGTTGACTTTTGCACCGTATCCACTGAATTTTTCCTTTTATTATTAATCACTTTATTTATGGCATTCTCAGTTACATAATTATCGGCACATTCTAAAAGTTCTTGTTCGGCGTCAGCATCTCCTATTTGTTTTGATAGATATTCACGGGCTTTATTATATTTATCTTTCCATAAGTCTCCATACTGGGATGCGGCTTTCTTAAGGTACGCAAGATTAATTGCAGTTTCCAGACTTGATGAATGTTCGGGTAATTTAAGTTTATTATTTTTAATCTTCTTTTGAATTGTTGTAATAACTTCTTCCTTAGGAACATCTAGTTCATTACAAACTGAATCACCTAACTCAATAGAACCATCATCTTTTTGATTCGAGACGATTTCTTTGCATTTTTCAGGAGTGGCTGATTCCTCAATGATAACGAGAGCTTCCGCTTTTTCATGATTATCAGGTTTGTATTTATTAAATGTGAAGAGATTCTTAACTTGATCAACAATCTCGCCAGTCTTAGTAGAAGTTGTATCATAAAGTTTATTGAAAAAGCCTTTGTCTACAGGTTTTTCGGCTTTTGGTATTTCGTCTTTCTTAAGATCAATTACATCCCGTTTCTTTTCTTCAATTACTTTGTCTGTTACTTTATCAACTACGTACTCATCGGCACATTTTATTAGTTCCTCTTCAGCATTTTTATCGCCAATTTGTTTTGAAAGATATTTACGGGCTTTATCATATTTGTCTTTCCATACACCTTCATGTTGAGGAGCAAGATTTTTGAGATATGAGAGGTTAACAGCGGTTGCAAGGCTTGATTTACGCTCGGGTGTTTTAAGTTTATCATTTTTAACTTTCTTCTGAATTGTATTAATAATATTTTCTTTAGGAGTATCTAATTCGTTACACACTGAATCATCCAATTCAATACAACCATCATCTTTTTGTTTAGATACAATTTCTTTACATTTCTCAGGAGAAGCTGCATCTTGAACAAGAGGAAGCGCAGCAGCTTTCTTATGATCTTTTTCAAACTTCTTAGTGACATTATCAACTACGTATTTATCAGTGCAATCTAATAGTTCTTTTTCTGCTGCAGGATTTCCAATTTGTTTAGAAAGATATTCGCGAGCTTTCTCGTATTTATCTTTCCATAGATTTTCGTGATGTGGTGCAGCGACTTTAAGGTAACTAAGAGCAAGTGCTGTTTTCCACCACGGCTCGGATTCGGGTGATTTAAGTTTTTCATTTTGTGTATCTTTCTTTACTGTAGTTACGACCTCCGTAATGGGAACATCTATATCTTCACAAATCGTCTCACTAATTTCAAAAGATCCGTCATCCTTTTGTTTAGAAACTGCATCATTACATTTTTCTGGTGTAGTTGAATTTTGCACAGTAACTACTGCATTTCTCTTTTTATCTTTAATCACTTTCTTTGTGGCATTCTCAACTACATAATCATCTGCACATTTTATTAATTCCTCTTCGGCATTTTTATCTCCTATTTGTTTTGATAGATATTCACGGGCTTTAATATATTTATCATTCCATAAATCTCCATACTGGGATGCGGCTTTCTTAAGGTATGCAAGATTAATTGCAGTTGCAAGACTTGATGAATGCTCGGGTGATTTAAGTTTATCATTTTTAACATTCTTTTGGATTGTTGTAATGATTTCTTCTTTAGGAGCATCTAGTTCATCACAAACTGAATCACCTAATTCAATGCAGCCATCATCTTTCTGATTTGAAACGATTTCCTTACATTTTTCAGGAGTGGCTGATTCTTCAACGATAATGAGAGCTTCCGCTTTTTCATGATCATCATGTTTATTTTTATCAAATGTAAGGGCATTTTCGAGTTGATCACCAAGTTTGGCAGCCTTCTCATAAAGACCACCGAAAAAGTTTTTAATAGGTTTTTCAGTTTTAGGTATATCATCTTTCTTAAGATCAATTACATCACGTTTCTTTTCTTCAATTACTTTGTTTGTTGTTTTATCAATTACATACTCATCAGCACATTCTATTAATTCTTTTTCAGCATCTTTATCCCCAATTTGTTTAGAAAGATATTCACGAGCCTTATTATATTTATCTCTCCATTCGCCTTCATATTTAGCTGCAGCATTTTTTAGATATGAAAGGTTTATAGCGGTTGCAAGACTTGTTGAATGCTCGGGTGATTTAAGTTTATTATTTTTAACTTTCTTTTGAATAGTAGTAATAATTTCTTCCTTGGGAGCACCTAGTTCATTACATACTGAATCATCCAATTCAATGCTACCATCATCTTTTTGTTGAGATACAATTTCTTTGTGTTTTTCGGGAGAAGCTGCTTCTTGAACAACAACAATCGCAATGTCTTTTTTATGATCTTTCTCAACCTTATCGGTGAAATTATCAACGACATATCTGTCGGTGCAATCTAATAATTCATCTACAGCATCTTTATCCCCAATTTGTTTTGAAAGATAATCACAAGCTTTATTATATTTATCTTCCCATAGTTTCTTGTGTTGTGGTGCAGCGATTCTAAGGTAACTAAGAGTAAGTGCTGTTTTCCACCACGGCTCTGATTCGGGTGATTTAAATTTCTCATTTTGTGTATCACACTTTAATGTATTCACGACATCTGTAATAGGAACGTCTAATTCTTCACAAACTGTCTCACTAATTTCAAAAGATCCATCATTATTTTGCTTAGATACAGCATCATTGCATTTTTCTGGTGTAGTTGACTTTTGCATCCTATCCACTGAATTTCTCCTTTTATCTTTAACTACTTTCCTTGTGGCATTTTCAATTACAAAATCATCCGCAAAATCTAAAAGTTCTTGTTCTGCGTTAGCATCTCCAATTTCTTTTGTTAGATAATCACGGGCTGCATTATATTTGTCTCTCCATAAGCCCTCATGCCGAGATGCGGCTTTCTTAAGGTATGCAAGATTAATTGCAGTTGCAAGACTTGATGAATGCTCGGGTGATTGAAGTTTGCTATTTTTAATCTTCTTTTGAATTGTTGTAATGATTTCTTCTTTAGGAAGATCTAGTTCATTACAAACTGAATCACCCAATTCAATAGAACCGTCATCATGTTGTTTCGCTATGATTTCCTTACATTTTTCAGGAGTGGCTGTTTCTTCAACGATAACAAGAGCTTCTGCTTTCTCGTGTTTAGTAAGTTTTCTCTTAAATCCAAGGGCACGTTCAACATGTCCACTAAGATTAGCAACCACCTCGTAAATTTTTCCGAAAAAGCCTTTAGGTTTTTCAGTCTTTGGTATTTCATCTTCCTTGAAATCAATTACTTCACGTTTCTTTTCTTCAATTACTTTGTCAGTTACTTTATCAACTACGTATTCATCGACGCATTTTATTAATTCTTCTTCAGCATTTTTATCTCCAATTTGATTAGAAAGGTATTCACGGGCTTTATCATATTTTTCCTTCCAAAAATCTTCGTGATGGGGTGCAGCATTCTTAAGGTACGAAATGTTAATAGCAGTTTCAAGACTTGATTTGCGCTCGGGTGATTTAAGTATATTATTTTTAACTTTCTTTTGAATTGCAGAAATAACTTCTTCTTTAGGGGTGTCTAATTCATTGCATACCGAATCATTTAATTCAATACAACCATCATCATTTTGTTTAGATACAATTTCTTCACATTTCTCGGGAGAAGCTTCCTCTCGAACGATGGTAATTGCAACGTCTTTTTTATGATCTTTTTCAAACTTTTTAGTAGCATTATCAACAACGTATTTATCAGTACAATCTAATAATTCCTTCTCAGCATCTTTATCCCCAATTTGTTTAGAAAGATAATCGCGGGCTTTTTTGTATTTATCTTCCCATACTTTTTTGTGATGTGGTGCAGCGATTTTAAGGTAACTAAGAGTAAGTGCTGTTTTCCACCACGGCTCTGATTCGGGTGATTTAAGTTTCTCGTTTTGTGTACATTTCTTTACTACAGGTACTACGTCAACAGGAATTTCTATTTCTTCACAGATCGTCTCACTAATTTCAAAAGATCCATCATCCTTTTGTTTAGATACTATATCGTTACATTTTTCTGGTGTGGCCGAATCTCGCGCTTTACCTACTGCATTTCTCTTTTTGTCTTTAATCACTTTCTTTATACTATTTTCAACCACATAATTATCCGCCAAATCTAAAAGTTCTTTTTCAGCATTAGCATCTCCGATTTCTTTAGAAAGATATTCACGGGCTTTATTATATTTGTTTCTCCATAAACTTTCGTGATCGGGTGCAGCTTTCTTAAGGTATGAAATGTTAATAGCAGTTTCAAGACTTGATTTACGCTCGGGTACTTTAAGTTTATCGTTTTTAACTTTCTTTTGAATTGTTGTAATGATTTCATCTTTAGGAGCATCTAGTTCATTACAAACTGAATCACCCAATTCAATGCAGCCATCATCTTTCTGATTTGAAACGATTTCATTACATTTTTCAGGAGTAGCTGATTCTTCAACAATAATGAGAGCTTCTGCTTTTTCATGATCATCATGTTTGTCATTATCAACCGAGAAAGCATCTTCAAGATGATCACCAATCCCACCAATCTTAGAAGCAACTGTTTCATAAACACCACCGAAAAAGCTTTTGCCTTTTTCAGATTTAGGTGATTCATAAAGGCCACCGAAAAAGCTTTTACCTTTTTCAGATTTAGGTATTTCTTTTTTCTTAATATCAATTACATCACGTTTCTTTTCCTCAATTACTTTGTCAGTTACTTTATCAACTACGTATTCATCGGCACATTTTATTAATTCCTCTTCAGCATCTTTATCTCCAATTTGCTTAGAAAGATATTCACGGGCTTTATCATATTTATCCTTCCATGAAGCTTCGTGAAGAGGTGCAGCATTCTTAAGGTATGAAATATTAACTGCAGTTCCCAGACTTGATGAATATTCGGGTGATTTAAGTTTATTATTTTTAATTTTCTTTCTAATTGTAGTAATAACTTCTTCCTTAGGAGCATCTAACTCTTTGCATACTGAATCATCCAATTCAATACAGCCATCATCTTTTTGTTTAGATACAATTTCTTTGTGTTTCTCGGGAGAAACTTTTTCTCGAACAATAGGAAGTGCAGCAGTCTTCTTATGATCTTTCTCAAACTTCTTAGTGACATTATCAACAACGTATTTATCAGTACAATCTAATAATTCTTTTTCTGTTGCTGCATCTCCGATTTGTTTAGAAAGATAATCGCGAGCTTTCTCGTATTTATCTTTCCATAGATTTTTATGATGTGGAGCAGCGATTTTAAGGTAACTAAGAGTAAGTGCTGTTTTCCACCACGGCTCTGATTCGGGTGATCTGAGTTTCTTATTTTGTGAACATTTCTTTACTGTAGGTACTACGTCTTCAACAGGAACATCTATTTCTTCACAAACCGTCTCACTAATTTCAAAAGAGCCGTCATCTTTTTGTTTAGATACTGCATCGTTGCATTTTTCTGGTGTAGCTAAATTTCGCACATTAGATACTGCATTTCTCTTTTTGTTTTTAATCACTTTCTTTATACTATTTTCAACTACATAATTATCCGCCAAATCTAAAAGTTCGTCTGCTAATTTTTCATCTTTTATTTGTTCAGTAAGATATTTACGGGCTTTATCATATTTATCTTTCCATAAACTTTCATGCTGGGGTGCAGCTTTCTTAAGGTATGAAATGCTAATTGCAGTTTGAAGACTTGGTAACAACTCTGGTGATTTAAGTTTATTATTTTTAATCTTCTTTTGAATTGTTGTAATGATTTCTTCTTTAGGAGCATCTAGTTCATTACAAACTGAATCGTTTAATTCAATAGAACCATCATCTTTTTGATTCGAGACGATTTCATTGCACTTTTCGGGAGTGGTTAATTCTTCAACGACAATAAGAGCTTCAGCTTTCTCATGATCATCATGTTTGTTTTTATCAAATGTAAGGGCATCTTCAATCTTATCTTCAACCTTGTCGCCAAGTTTAGAAGCCGTTTCATAAAGGCCACCGAAAAAGTTTTTAACATCTTTAATAGTAGGCTTATCATCTTTTTTAGCATCTTCTATAACTCTTGGCATGATATTATCAAGTTTATTGTAGGCCGATTTATCTGATTTGTCTATAACATAGGTTTTACAACTTTCAATGTCTGAGGTACGGTTCAAATGATCTAATAAACCCATCAATACAAATAATAAGTTAGTAATAACATAATTGAACTTTTCTCATTTGTAAATAAGGTTCAAGATTACCTTGATATTCATCATCCTTTTCAATAGCATCATCCTCAACATTATAACTTCTGATAATAAATTGTTTGGCAGATCCCAGCAGTTCACGTTCAATTTGAGGATTATTAATTCGTGAATGTAATAATTTATATAATTCATCACATTCACCAGACCAATGATCGCGATGGTCTACACCCAATAAACGTAAATACCATATCGCTACTGCAGTGAGCAATGTATCAATATCAAGTTTTGATAAATTATCAGAGATAAAGTGACTTCGTAATGCTGATTCCAGGGATGCTTTATCGTAGAATCCAAGGTGTTTCGCAATTTCATCAATAAGTTGATAACAACCATTCTTTGGACGGTATGTAAGGAATTTTTTAATAACTTCTTCATTGGTAGTACTTCGATTAACAACATTACCAGATAAGGAGATTGTTTTGCGGTGCATGCTTCCTAAATTTCGAGAAAAAGAATAATACAAGTATTGTAAACAAAAAATGACAATTTTATTTACAGAATTTAAAAGAACAATTAATTAAATTATTAAAGAATACCTTTCTTTTGTCTCTTAATTTCATTCTTTTCTTCTGCTATTGCAGCATCTTTGGTCTTAATAGCTGCAATGAAGCTAGTATCGGCTTCAATAGCATCATTGTCAACTTCATATCTTGAAATAATGAATTTCTTGGCGCAATCATTGATTTCTTTTTCGAGAACAGTATCTCCATTGCATTGTTTTTTTAACCATTCTGATGATTTCTCATAATTGCCGATCCATTCATGTCGGTGATCAAGAGCAACTAAACGTAGGTACCAAACCACGCAGGCGGTAACCCAAGCATTATGGTGAAGCTTTTTGACACGTTCTGTTTTAAAATGTTTTTGCAAGTGTTGTAAAAATTCATCGACACTTTTGAATCCAAAGAATTCAGCCACTTTTTCGTTTAATTCAACACAACCATCGTCAGATTGATGAGAAAGAAGTGTACGAACATGACGGATAGTGATAACCTTTCGAGTAACGATGGTTTGTTTGGCTAAAAAATAATACATTATATAAGTCACTTTCATTAATTAAAAAGGCCATTATTATAAATAGATGTATAAATTTCCTACCAGGTTCGATGATTTCCAATTGTTCTTTTTCGAAATTCTTAACATTGAAACGTTCAACAATGAATTTTCTACATAAATCATATAAACGATCCTCGGCATCAATATTGTTCATTTCTTTGCTGAGCCACGCTTCACTGTCTGCAGCAATTCGTTTCCATTCACCATAGTGTTTCCAGCATAAAACCTTGAGATACATAATCGTAAGAGCTGTCGCCAATATAGACAAGTCATATTTTAAGAGTTCTTTGTCTGAAGAAGATAAGTGAGCAAGGAAAGCTTGTTTCAATTCTTCAGCAGTTTTATAATTAAAGAAACGCGCCAATTTATCAGTAAATTCCCAGGATCCACTCGCATTACGCCAGCTAATAAGCATGTATAAATGCTGTTGTTTAATAGTATCTTTGGAAAAGATAAAGTTCTCACCCTCGGTGAAACTGACTGGGAAAAATTGAATTTCCAAGTTTAATTGTCCTCTAACTGGCTTTTGACCAATTTGAAGTGAGAACGGACCACATAAAGGTTTAGATTGATCCTCACTTTTTAGTAAAATGTTAGTATCCAAGACATAGGTACCAAGAGGTTTGTCCGATATAAAAAGATTTTCATCATAGATTTCAAACGAAATTTTTTCGCCTAAACCATGAGCAGAAATTAAATGTACTTCATTCCATTTTGGATTAATGGTTCCATGATTAGCCTTAGTGCGAACTATTACATTTCCGGCAGCATCAATAATGCGAACGTACGGATCAGGGTTAGCAAAGGAAAACCAACTATCGGATTTTTTGAGATTTTTGGCATCTTTAACACAGATCCTAATTATACCGACAACTTGATCATCAGGAATTGGTTGTTCTTCTTCATCGGGTTCTTCAATAACTTCACGATTCTGATTCTTTTCTATAGATTCCCTGAAAGATTCATCTTCGCTTATAGCATCCGGTTCAACCTCAAATCTTTTAACAACAAAGATTCTAGCAGCCTCAAGAAGTTCCTCCCGTACTTTCTCGTCTGGTACTTGTTGACAAAGCCATTTCTGTGCTTTTTGGTATGAATCTACCCACTCATTTCTGAAGTCTACTAATACATATCGAATGAACCAAGTCATAATAGCAGTACTCCAAATGTTAGGATTACATTGAGCAAGTCTTGGTGAGTGGTTTGAAAAATGAGCTTCAATATGTTTTTTAGCTTCTTCAACAGAGCTGAAGCCCAAAGCTTCTGCCAATTGTGGGGTGAGTTCGAAACAACCAGATTCATTCTGATAACTGAGGAACCGACGGACAACACGTATATCAACATATCGTCGAGTAATGATTGATTTCTTAGAAATAACTGTGACAATAGGAAATAAGAAATTATTAATAAATCAATATCACATATATTTTTTTTGATTAAACATTCTAGTCACATGCAAATCGATAAATTAAAATTATGTAGCATTGCCTAATAATGAAACTAAATTTTACTATAGGCATCATTAATATAATCATAATAATAAAATTATAATAACTAATTTCATAACTTTTAGTTTATCGATTAACATGTAATTCATTTTGTATCATTAACAAAAAAAAAAAAACCAAACTTTTTCTTACCTAGAATACCCAAACTCCTTTGTTGATTTTCATCTACCCATTGAGTGGCTTTAAATAGTTGAATAACGAATTTGTTCGAGTAATTATAAAGACGTTCTTCAACTTCAACATCGGGTACATTTTCACTCAACCAACTTTCAGCTCTGTTGTAAATATTCACCCACTCACGACGATCTTTCCATAATAATACTTTAAGGAAAGATGTGACGAGCACTGTAGCCCAAATTCTGTGACTCAAACTACGAACCCCCTCATCCTGTACAAAATCAGAGAAGGCTTTAGCAAGTTCTTCCTTAGAATTGAAGTTGAATAATTTTGCTAAAGAGTCGGTAAGGTCAAAGTAACCATATTGACTTTGATAAGTCATTAAGAGATATAAATGTCGAATTGAGACATTATTTATTGTAATAGCTTCCATTTTATCTGGTTCTGGAAGCGAAAAGAAGTCAGCAACGAATGATAATTGTCCTCGGTTGCTTCCTTTATAAGTAAGATTGGCATCAAGTTTTAATTTCTTTCCTTCATAAGAACCATTAGGAAGCTCTTTAATTATATTTTTGAGATCAAGAATATAAAATCCCAAAAGTTTATGTTTAAAGAAAGCGTTATAGTCGAAGACTTGTAAATTGAATTTTTCATGAATATCATAAACAGGAATATAAAACACTTGGTCCCAAACGGGATCACAGTTGTTGTAGATGACACGTGAATCACCATAAACCCAACTTGTGGAAAGGTTAGATATTCTAACATATGGGTCGGAAGCACCACCAGCAAGCCACGAATCGGCTTGTTTCAGGTTTTTGGCACTTTTAATTTCGATACGAGCGATACCATAAGGTTTTTGAGCTTTTTATAATCATAAAAAAAAATTTTATAAAATCAATAATAAATAAATAGATATCAAATAAATAAGAGAAAAAAATTTACCAATTCCTCGATCTTTTTGTGGGTTCTTAATAGAGTCTATCATATCAGCAATTTCCTTTTCAAAGTTACGATCCATCTCCACAACATCATCTTTTACACCATGACAGTCTTTGATAAATGATTTAACAATATCAAAACATTCTTGTTCAAGGGCTTCATTACCCTTTAATTGAGCCCATAACCATTTGTAAGATCTTTCATAGGTTTGGAACCATTCTTTCTTTTGATCGACGGCAACATAACGATAGAAATAAAGTACCATCATTGTTGACCAGACTGAGGGACTAATTTGAGAAATTTTTTGTGATTTGGTTTTACTATTTCTATATTCATAGAATGCAGTTTGAAGTTTTTCGGAATTTTCATAACCAAAGGATTTCGCAAGATCATCAGTAAAGTAATATGCGCCAGTATTTTGTTGACATTTAAGAATACGTCTAACATGTGCAATTGAAATAGTGTCTCTAGTAATTCGTCTAGATTTGGAATCTATTTTTTTAAGTTAATAACAAATTTATTAATAAATATAATAATAATAATTAATAATAATTAATAATAATAATAATAATAATTATTATTATTAATTAATAATTAATAATTAATAATAATTATTATTAATTTAAAAATAGAGAAAAATATATTACATACCAGGTTCACCAATATCAAATCTTTCACGGACAGCTTTTCTGCCACTAGCAACTACAGTTTCTTCCATTTCTAAATCGTTAATTTCTTTACTAATAAACTGTTCAGCACGTTCATAAATACCACCCCATTCACTTCTGTAATCTTTTAATAAGAAACGTAAGAACCATAAGATCATGCTAGTTGTCCATACTGTATGATTATTATGCTTTAAAATACGTTCTTCACGACAATGAGATTTATATAAGTTTAAGAGTTGTTCTTGAGATTCAAAACCAAATAGATTGGCTAATGTATCAGAAGGAGGGAAACCACCATTTGGAGCTTGTAATGTGATAAGAACATAAAATGTTGAACGACCAAAAGGTTTCTCTTTAAGATTGGCAAGAAAATCGGGAGTAGGTTTTGGAAGAGGTTCCAATGGGAAGAATTTCGCTTTGTAATGAAGATGACCTTGAATGGTAAGTTTTGCCGTACTAAAAATATACATCAGGATAATGATTTAAAATTAATAAATTTTTTAATCTATATATTATTTATTACTATCATCATATCATTATCATTATTATTATTATTTATTAATATTTATTTAATTTATTTATTTATTTTTTTTTTTTTATTTATTTAATAAAAATTTCTTGTACTCACACGTCAATACCATTTGCACTTCCTTCATAAACACCTTCTGAAACTTCTTTGACAAGCTCTTGAGTAATTTCTAAATTGCAATTTCCAAGCGGTTTATCTTTTATAAAAGTGTTAAAATCCATCACATCCAAAATGAACTTTTCACCAATATATTTGACAGGTAAATAGTGAACTTCATTCCACACTGGATTCAAGTCATTGTCTATGACTTTAGTTTGAGCGATAATGTCTTTGTTATTACCAGCGTGGAATACTCGAACATAAGGGTCAGATTTTCCTAATTAATTTAATTAAATTGAATTAAATTGAATTAAATTGAATTAAATTGAATTAAATTGAATTAAATTGAATTAAATTGAATGAGATAGATTATATCGACATAATAACAAATTAAATTGAATTAAATTGAATTAAATTGAATGAGATAGATTATATCGACATAATAACAAATTAAATTTTTGCGAACAAAATAAAGTATATTTACCACCAGCCAAGAAAGAATCAACACCTTTTAAGCCTTTAGCACCAATCAATTCTAGTCTAACAACACCAATAGCGGCACCACCTAATAAAAGTTTTAAATTTTTTTTTTTTTAAAAAAAAAAAAACGAAATATAAAAAATTCAAACTTTTGAAAAAGTAAATTACTTTTCTTCACAGGATGGAGTGGCATTATATGAAATTGTGAAGCCAAGGGGTTCTTGGGGGTTTTTCCAACGTCACAAAGAATAACATGTTTGTCTTTAACTTCAAGCGCGAGCTGTTTATTTCTTAATTGAATACGTCCATCTTTGGTAAGGACCCATTTCTGGCTAGCAGTTTGACTTCCACTTCTTCTATGATGAAGAACAAGACGACTTCCCACTTTCTCTATAGAAAGGTATATTACCGTTAAATTTACCGAAAGTTATATAGTAAGGAAATTCACGGGTAGATGTTCGTTGATCATCCATAATGCACGTGATCATGAATTAAGGTTTTCTGTCCAGTTTTTTTTTTTTTTTTTTTACGTAATGCGCGCGATGGAAAAATTACTAGAGACGAAATTTTAACCTAAAATAAAGATAAACTACCTGATTCAGGTTCCAAGCATAAAGTTGTTTGTTTGTTAATCAGAAAGCCGTCTTCATATTGCCAAAGTTGATAACCGTCATGTTCAGTAGTACTCTTTTGTGGAGCAACAATAACTTTTGTTCCGTCTTTAACCGAACCCCAGGCCACGAAAAAGCCGCGCTCAACGTCAACGACCGTGTTTTGACCAGAGGAAGAGGAGGAAGAGCCTGAAACTGAAATAGCCGACTTAATGTAAAAGTCGTCACCTTTAGGAAACCCACCCTTATCAGTCATGATTGTTGTGTTATTTACAGGGTTAAATTGAAAAAAATGCTAGATGAATTCTCGTAACAAAAAAAACGTTAGTGAATAAATATAGAATAAATAGTTAGTTTTCCGAAAACAAAAAAAAAGGCCAAATTTTCACTCCAGAAGGAATGAATTAATGAGGAATATTTCTTTGGACAGATCCTTTTATAATTGCACGAAATGTTTTTTTTTTTTATATTGTTTGAAGTAAAGAAAACATTTTAATCAGTAGTTGATTGATAAGATATAATTTTCCCATGCGAAAAGTAAGCAGAGTAACATAACCTTACATGAAAAATGTTGGCTGAAGTGTCGGCTAATCTCTAGTTGTCGTACAAAAACTATGATTTCAGAAGATTTTGAAAAAGTATGGGAAATGTTACGATGTGACGTGTACGTACGTACGTACGTACAATTTTTTTTTTTTTTTTTTACTAAAAAAAAATAGAATCGGCATATATTATTTATTATTAATAATGATATTCAATGATATTATACGTATCAATGAAAAAATTCGATTAAATTGATAAATAGTTAAATAATTTTAAACATAGTATTTTAAAATGCCAATTTTAAGCATGGTATTTAAAAATGCCAATTTAAAAAGTCTAATCAGTGATCAACGGGTAAATAGTTTAAAAAATTAATACGTAATTAATAATAATTAATAATATTTGATAAAAATAATGATAATAATTTCCATAAAAGTATTGGATGATATTAGCCCGATTAAAATTTATGTCGGATGAAAAAAAAAATGTTATGCAAGCGTGGTGATCCATCAAAGATGTAAAGATTTTATGTAGGTACGAAACCTAAAATAGGAAATCGATTATTTAAACTTAATAAAGCAGTTTAAAATGTATACGATTTATCGTTATGTAGATCTTATTTTAAACATTTTATTTTTTCCCGCCATCATTAAGGTCTTCGGGTTGTACTGGTTTTTCGTGAAATCTCGGGCAAATAGTTTGTGTAACAATATAGGCATAAATTAGCTAGGGAATATAGTTTAATTAATACAAATATTGAATATTTACACTTATCCATAAAAGTTTTAATTGAAACGGAGCAAAGAATGTATATGTCTGATGGCAAACTCAACAATCATGTACGAACAATTCTGCGATTGAGAAAGATGTTTAGAAGCCTCCTTGAAAGGTCGAGCTTTCCTATTTCTACCAAATTAAACATAACAAATACGACATACGACATAACATATAAAAGTAAGGATTATTTGCATATTATACGTACATCATACTTATAATTAATTGGTCAACTAAAATGAGTTACATTAATTGGGGATTACGAAACATCAGTGATACATACCTATAATGTCAACAATAACATTTCAAATAACTGATTAAATATCACACCCAAGGTTCACCCACCTCAAAGTTTCACCTCAAAAGTTTTACGTCAGAAATTAAACAAAGTTGATCGATGGGATCGATTATACATCTATTACTTGCATTGTCTCACATGACTAAGTGCACGTGTAGTTGTTGCGATTAACTTAAAAGTAAAGAAGGTAACGTTAAAGGAACACAGATCTACATGTGATATCAATTGGTTTTTTATCGCATCTTTTTCATGAATTACTAAGATTAGATCGACGAACCTTCTCGGTTTAACACATTAGTTAAAAAAGAACATGTTCCTGCATATAATTTCCAAGTATTTCTACGGAATTATTAATATAGTTAGTCTAATTAGCCCAAATTTTCTGCCACTGATTTATTTGCGATATGCCTTTTAGAATAAGATTGGCGTGTGAAATGTAATATGCAAAATTGTTACGTATGCATATTTACAAAAATTTTACATTAAAAAAAAACCTTAAAATCTAGAAAGATTATCTGAAAGACAGGAGGAAAGCCTGTTTGGCGTCATTATTCGACATGACGTAGTATTCCGGTGTAATATACATTAGTTGATTTTGTAATAGTCTGATCAAATAAACGTCACAACTTTTTAATCACCGCTTCGATCACCGTTTACGCTTATATTTATCTATTTTTATTTATCATTGCAGCATTGACCTAAAGATGCCACACGGACTTAATATTTTTTTTAACCTTTTTTTTTCTGTTACGTAATCATCATAATGTAATTAAATTATTGAACGTATATATAATAAAATTATATATACTATATATTCATATATATATAATTCATTCATATATGATTCATTCATATATAATTCATTCATATATAATTCATGTGAAATTATTTAGTATATATACAGTATATACAGTATTTGGCTGGCAAGTATTTTATTTAACAAAGAATCCATTCATTCATATTGACATGGGCTATTTGACCTTCCGACTAATCTAACCAATTTATTATTAATACATTAATTAATCTTTAACCAAATATATTATCGATTATTTCACATCATATAATTGCTCTCGGATGTTAACTTTCTTTGTATATATTATAATAACACGTGATAATTAACCTATTTATATTATATAAAAGGTTTATATTGTCTTCCGGAACCTAAACTTTTCGTACATCTCGAGCATTGTTTTTTAAAGAATTTATTTTGACCGTTTTTAGTATAGCCCCGTTTCACCAGCTAATACGTAACCTACTTAACGTAATCTTCCTAAATAAAGCGCTTACGTACTGGGTGCACTACAAACAGTACAAACAGTACGAAACGGTAATCACAATCATATGTTTCATAGTGTAATACCTGATACGTAGGGAGAAAAATTATACCTTCTATGTAAAGTATCCCCAAATTCTTTTACATATTAAGTTTGGCAAAAAAAAAAAAAACGGTCTTCGTACAATACACATGAACAGCAGATTATCTATGCTCACGTGATCGAATATTTTTTGAATGTATTCCTGATCTTTCAACAAATGATTTTATGGAAAAAACAGGAAGAATTTGTATAACGATTTCAGAACATTGAAATCCAGAATACAGGAATATGGACATTCAGAAATAATTCTGATTCAAAATCTTAATAAGGTTAGCATGTGAAAAATGGCTGAATCGTCCCAATGAGAATCAGCTGATAACAAAATCTATTAAAAGATATAGTATTATATTATTATTAATTGTATCTCAGGAGGATTTATCTATTCATTCGATTCGTCTTGCTGACTGTATATTTGTTCAATCATTAACAAAAATACTTTTTTTTTTTTTTTTGTTTATTTTGTTTATGTTTATATGACAATATAACAATATAACAATATATCATGATCCGCCCATTTTACTCGTATCCGCCGGATTATCCATATCGCTTTTGGTTTTTATAGATGTTAACTAAAATTTCATGTAAATTATTCCCGTCCTTACCTTGAACATCCAACATAATTTTGTTATCATTGACATTCTTAAGTTCTAAAAACCTGGAAGGTGGTTAATGTTTTTTTGTTTTTATAGTATATATTTCCGTATAAGTCGCCATTAGTTTCTTGTGAGCTGAATTCTTGAAAATGATAATAAAATAAACCACGCAAACGATGTTGAGAATTACTAATTACTAATGAAAGGTAAGTCCAATAGATAAATTCTGGGTCAAAATTATTTTTACCAAGTTTTATGTTTTTGTTTATCTTTTAAACAAATGATGGAAAAAATATCATTGACGGTGCATGTATCATCGTAACCCAAACATTTTCTTATTTTCAAAGACAATTATTAAGATAAATGTATCTTTCACTGTTTCAACCTTTAAATTTATCCAATTTTTTAATTCTATATAGCCCTTAATTGATCAAGGAAATCAAGTTCCTTTGAGTGTACTGTACTGTATTGTCACTTTTGCATTTTTTCATTTTTTTGAAAATAGATTCTCTTATTAGTAATTATTTATTTAATCTAGAAAAATTCATAAATGTTACATAAAGAAATTTGTGTTTTATAAGGAATACCTCTAAACAGGGTTGACAATGGTCAATTTAGATCCTCAATGGATACTAAGATCCATTCGGCTAAATTGCCGTCTTTTCTCATTGTCAACCCTGCCTTCAAATCTATACCTTCAAATCTATACCTTCAAATCTATACCTTCAAATATATACTTTCAAATATATACCTTCAAATCTATACCTTCAAATCTATACCTTCAAATCTGTAAATTTCAACGTACAATATTTTATAGCACACAATTAATAAAATAAAATAGATTGAGTTAAAGAAAATTCAAACAGCAATTGTTAATGCTATTAAAGAATGTTATTATCAATTTTATTTTATTGTTATTTAATCTTATTTTTGTAATTCCACTAAATTATACATACCCAAGACATCCTTTATTAATTAATAAGTATATCATGCATCCTAGAATTAAGCACTAACAAATGAATATTTGGCGGAAAGCCTTGAATCTATAATCGGTCGTAATCGGAAACCCTGCATAATCATGCAAAACTTTCCGATTTTCTGGGGATAAAAATAAAAATGGAAGAAAGAAGAAAAAAAAAAAAAAGATCTATCAATCAAGATATAAAATATCGAAAATGGAAAAAAAAAGATCTTTATGTACTTTTTTAGGTGTACGCGTGTCAACAAAAATCAAAGATCAAAAAAAGTAGAATAAATTATTTAACTAAATTGGCATGCTCTCCGAAATAGGTTTAGACTTATTTACCAACTGCCTTAGCGTTATTGTACCACATTAAAAAATCCCCGGCCAATCAACCTTTGAGATAAGATATAATGCAAAATCGTTCGTTTGTCTATGAAATCATGACAATATCATTATGTTTTTCTTGTGAATTTTGGTATTAATAAAGCCTTTTCTAGCTTAATACTGTATTTTAAAAACTTATTATCTGAAAAAGAAAACCAAAAAAAAAAAAAAAAAAAAAAACAATTTACATACCGTTCCTGATATAGAATTATAAAAAACTACTATTGCTGAAATATAAAAATTATGACTTAAAAATTTGGCAGGCCGATTATAAGATCAACAAGAAACATAAAATTCAAAAAGTAAACAAAGAATCGGAATAAT